TTGATAATGGTGGTTTAAAAGCTTATTTACTTGACATATTTTAACTTAATTATAAATTGATACTATATAATTTGTTAGTTATTTATAAATTAATTATAATTTAATAGAAAATAACTGATAGACACGTATCTCTTTCTTCGTCTCTCTCTGCCCATTTTTCTTGTTTAATCTTCTCTACTTCTCTTCTCATTTCTTTTTCAGAGAATTCAACAATAGATTTCACCATGCTATCTATCACCAGCGGACTAGTTGTTATCCGTCAGTCGTTGATACTACATCATTGACAATCATTAAAAAGTTTTAAAGCTTTAATTTTGAATTCAGATTTTCTAAAATTAATATTTGTTCGGATTGAGTATTGCTGCAAATGTTTGAGAATATTTTTTGGTTACATCCCAATTTTGAGGGTTTTCGTAAAAATTGAAGTTAATTTTGGCAGCATTTTCAAATTTGAAGATTGTATTTTTAAAATCATATTAAAGTTGTATGAAAATTACATTTATATGTTATTGTAGTTGTTTTACTTGTGTATGAATATCGCATGATAATTATAAATACGTTCTATACTATATGAATAGTTATTTGAAATTTGCATTGAAATAAATACTCTCACATAAAGTTGTATAGGTGTATCAAAATTATATCAAAGTTGTATTTATAAAAAATAAGTAATAACGAAAGGGATGTTTTCAAATTATCTCCTAGCTAGTGGAACAAGAAAATCATGTATGATTTACTCATGTAAACAAATAAAAAAATGAGAAAAGAAATACAAAAAGCAAAAAGCAAAAATCAAAGTTGTCTTATGTCGGGTTTTCTCAAGATTTCTTAAAAAACTTATTGAATTTCTGAAAGAGTTTTTATAATGCTATACTTCAATTAAAGATCGAGTTAAAGGAGAATAATGTATGAAATTTGTATAAAAAATATATTTTAGTTGTAGTTGTAAAATATTTATATGAATCTATATTATATTAAAAGCACGAAGGCCCTTAGCGAAATGTCGTTCGCCTTTTTTATCCTTCAAAAATAGAGTTCACGCTGGATATAATAATCGTTTAATTATTTTTATAATATTTAGAAATAGACTTAATTATTTTCCTACTATTTTAGCAATAGTCATTTAGTTACTTTCCTAATATACAAGACGGTAAAATTAACTAAAATTTTAGTTATTAAACATTTNTCCTATTTGAACATCCTAGGAATTCCTAAAATTTAGGACTAAAATCAACTAAATATCTAGAAATTTATTTGACGTCAACTACAAGAAGAATAAGACAATCAAAACCCAATTGAATTCAGTTCCACATTACAATTGTGATACTTCTTCCTATCAAATTCGAAAGACGAAATTCAGGTGATTATTGAATTCTTAATTAGGGAATAGATATGAAGCAAACAGAGGTTAACACTATAAGTAGTTACCAAAAAAAGAACTAAATATAATATTATATTATAATAATTTAAAAATATAATTAATAAAAAGAATTTAAATTTAATATATAGATATGTGTGTGCATATACAATATTATTTCAGATTTATAACATTTAATGATATCATATTTTTAATAGAAAAATTGGTAATAGCTTTAAATAAATATGATCATCACTGGAGCCTAGATGATTACAATACACTGGAGAGGAACTCAAAAAGATTTTGGTAATTTTTTCATTTTGCTATAAATTGGTGAAGTTAATATTTCTAACATTTGTTGATACAATATTTTAACAGGAAAATTGTTGACAATTTTAAATAAATTAATCAAAAAGGTGGCATTCATGCAATTTTAGTGAAATTCAGTAATATGTGAATAATATAGTAAAGAATTTGGGAAATTTTTTAGGTAAATTCTTTTTTTTTTGTTGAGTTAGTTAAATAATATTATCATGTTCATGGACTTGATTTTTTCTACTAATTTCTTTTATAACTCAAAATATTATTTAATAATCATTATGTTATTTTAAAAAAGTTTATATACATTAAATAAAAGCACACGCGCAACGCGCGTACAATAAGACTAGTATTATATAAAAGTAGTACAATGTATCAAAATTATATTAATTTATATTATAATTATACGAAAATTATATTTAAGTTGTAAGCAAATTGATTTTGTTGGACTATTAGTTGAGTTCCTTAAATAAAAATCATTCACCTTTATTGTTTTTGGCGCATAACTGCCACTATCATTCATTTCTCGTCAATATTCTATAAAATTTAAAGGCTTTACTTTTTTGTTTCTAAAAATATTTACGTTTCCAATTGAGCTAGCCTATTATAATTAGTGTACACATTCTTCTTCTTCTCTATATATCTAAAAAAAATTATGAAAATACCATGTCAAATGATACATTTGATATAATTTGTCATCACCACTACAATTATGTTTTGGATGTTAGTTGAAAATAAAAAAAGGTGAAGACATTAATAATGGGTTGAAAACTTTTTAAGGGGAATGTATACAATTTGTAAAAAAGATCAAGTCAATTTTGATAAATATCAAAACTTAGTTATTTCGGATAAAAGAATTTGATACCTATTATGTGTATGAAAAAGAGGAATTTTCAGAATTCACTACTGTTTAATAGCTATTAGCTTCCTATAACTACCATATACATAATTACTTCCTATAACTACTATTTAGTTGTTACGGTAGTGTATTCGCTGTATTTGTACTGTTGTATTCATGAATACAGCAACAAAAAGTGCCTAAAAATTATGGCAGTCCAGCTGTACGCGCATGTATTCACATGTATTCGCGTCATGTATTCATGAATGCAGCAGCAAAAAGCGCCTAAAATCAGGGCAGTCTAGCTGTACGCACATGTATTCACATGTATTCGCACTGCTGTATTCATGAATACAACAGTAAAAGACGCTTAAAATCAGGACAGTCCATCTATACGCGCATGTATTCACATGTATTCGCGCCATGTATTCATGAATATAGCAGCAAAAAGCGCCTAAAATCAGGGCAGTCCAGCTGTACGCACATGTATTCACATGTATTCGCGCTGTTGTATTCATGGAAACAACAGTAAAAACGCCTAAAATCAGGACAGTCCAGCTGTATGCGCATGCATTCACATGTATTCGCGCTATGTATTCATGAATACAGTAATGACAATCACCTTAAAATTAGGTATGTCCAGCTATCTAAGAGAGAAAAAAAACATAAATAGCGTATTTTATGCCTTATTTCATGCCTCAATGGTAGTATATAATATAAATACTTATTTTGCTATAAAATATAAAAGGTAGTTATAGAAAATAATATTTTAAAATAATTTTAGTTTTTAATAAATAAGATGTATACCTTTTCTCAAAATTTCCTATGAAAAAATCTCTTTAAAAATCCCAAACATTGGATATGAAGCCCAATAATGTAAGGGCTACCCTTGATATTAGGATAGTGGGCTGGCTCGACAGTAGATGCAAGAAATTTCACCAGGTGTCCTCCTTAAGGACGTCTGTTTCAATTTTGGCTCAGTTAAGAAAAACAGTGGAAATAAGATAACTGCCATAGTTTGTGCTCCTCCTCCTTATTCTTCATCTCTTTTATGATGTGCTGTAGAAAATTGAAGGCCCATTACTTTGTTGTGATTGGTTTTGATTGGTTTGGTTGTAACAGTATTCTTGAGATTTGTTAAGTTCTAATTGTGGAAGAAAACAAAATGGATCTATTGATTTTTTAAGGTTCGGATTGGAGCTAGCCATCAAATAATCAGAATTGGTATTAGAATGTTGAATTTAAAGCAAAAATGTGTTCGTAAAATTTCTCAAAAAACTTCCAGTAATCCTTTAGGAATTGTGAACAATTTGTTCCAAAGTTACTACTTGTACTAAAATCTTGGTAATTCAGCAGGACTTGTGCAAGCACATCAATTAAAAACTCCTGATCACCGGCTAGGATTTATGAACATTTATTATAAAGTTACAACATAATTAGATTTTGAGATTTATCAGGACTTGTGGCAAGCCCATCCACTCTGAACTCCTGATAATCCGCTATAATTTTTTTGCACTAAATCATGGTGATCAACCATGAGTTGTAGCAAGGTAAGTCTTATACTGATTCGCCAGGGATTGTGCTCTAACTTTCAGCATGGATGTTGTTTTTGCACAACTTTTTTGTATGAGGTCAAAAGTTAAATAATGGCACCATAATAGCCTATTTGTGTAATCCTGCAAATGTGAGTCGAAATAGCGCCTACTGACCACTCAAAAAGTTTGGCTTTAGGCCACAAAGTTATTAGTAACTTTAAAAATAGAGGTGCTACTATCCTAATGCTGAAATAGCGCCTACTGGCCACTCAAAAAGTTTGGCTTTAGGCCACAAAGTTATTAATAACTTTTTAAAAATAGAGGTGCTACTATCCTAATGCTATTAGTAGAGAATGAATCAAATTAAAGAATTCTTCTACGTCCATCTCTTTCGTTAATTGCTGATGATCTTGTTCAAAGTTTAAGTTATATATATATATATTCAGTGTAAAGAAATGTTTACGCTATTAAGTAACTAGAATGATATCCATAAAATTAATATGAAATCTGTAATTTTGAATATTAATAGATTGTCTTAATAGGTAAATATGAGTACAAATTTCTGACATGAACGATGTATATAATTTAAACTGGTGTGTTTATGAGTAATTGTCGGTGCAACTGGATGATAGTGCATAAGAGAATAGTATAACTTTCCTAATTTGGTGGAAAATCGTCTTTACAAGGGGCTTCCTTAATTCGACCTTGATAAAATATAAAGTCTGAACTTCTGGAAAGATGCTACTTTGCCAGTAATGGGTGAGCCTATTCAATATTTTATACTAAAATTGATGAGATTGAAAGCAACACGTACTTCAATGAAGAAAAAGAAAATGTAAAGAGTTTCATACCCAAGAAACTTGTCAGTAAGAAAGGCTCGTGAAGATTCCCAATTCCTGAATCTTTAGCTATATATATAATCCAATATTTCACATATATAGAAGTGTCCTTTATACTAAAATCATTCATATTCCAATGTCGTCCTCTAGTTACTGTCTCCTTCATTTCTGTTTTCTTCTCATCATATCAACTTGTATAGCTCAAACCACTTCCCGTCCTAAAACTTTATTCCTTGCAGTTAAGAAAGATCCCTCCACTCTACAATACATTACTGAAATTCATCAAAGAACACCTCTTGTCCCTCTTAAACTAGCCATCCATCTTGGTGGCGAAAGCCTATGGGTGGATTGTGAACAAGACTACGAAAGCTCAACTTACAAGCCAGCTCGTTGCAATTCAAGGCAATGTAATCTTGCTAGGTCAACCGCTTGCGGAAGTTGTCATACAGGAACTGGTACACGACCGGGTTGCAATAGCAACGCTTGTTATAACGTTGTTGAAAACCCGGTTATTGATACCATCTACACCGGCGGTGAAATCGCCAAGGATGTTTTGTCAGTCGGATCAGTCAATGGAACCTTTCTAGGCCCTGTAGCAACCATGTCAAGGTTTATATTTAGCTGCGCTCCTTCGTATTTAACCAGAAGTCTTGGTAAAGATGTTAAGGGAATGATTGGTTTTGGACAGCAGAGTCCAGTATCACTTGCTACTCAATTTGCGTCAGCGTTTCGGTTCAGCAGAACGTTTGCCATTTGCTTGAGCTCAACAAAGGAATTAGATGTTAACGGTATAATATATATTGGACAGAGCCCTTATTTATTTAGTCCTGGCTATGATGCCTCACGTGATCTTATCTACACTCCTATTATTACCTACTCACCTAGTAGTATTTACATCAATAGGCCCTCCTCAGAATATTATATTCAAGTTTCATCCATTAAGATCAATGGAAAAGCTTTGCCACTTAATAAAACATTGCTGTCTCTGGATAAAAATGGAAACGGTGGGACAAGAATCAGCACGACTCTTCCTTACACTGTATTAGAGACATCTATTTACAATGCAGTAATCAAAGCTTTTGTTAAAGAGATGCCAAAAGAGGTGAGATCAGTACCCGCAGTGCAACCTTTTACAACTTGCTTCAATTCGAGAGATGTTGGTATGTCACGACTTGGTTACAGTGCTCCTGAAATTAATTTCGTTCTCCACAAGCAAAATGTGCACTGGAAAATTACTGGAGCAAACTCATTGGTAGAAGTTAGTGGCGATGTCATATGTCTAGCCTTTGTTGAACGACGCCAAGAATCGGGACAATCAGTTATCGTTGGTGGATTTCAGATGCAGGACAACCTTATAGAATTTGATCTTTCGAAAAAAAGAATAGGTTTCAGTAACTCTCTCTTTTTCCGTCAAACTATGTGTTCGAATCAAGGCTTTGCGTAGAGATCGTCATTATCTCTCCTGTAGTTGATGGCATGAACAGGCTTGCTTGGCTAGGAAAAGTGGTTATTAGTTTGTTTTTCTTTTTTTGAATTTTTCAGTAAGCATTCCTTTATTTTGGTCTATCGAGTAAGTATTATTTTTACATATTTCTTATTAAAATAGTTTGCATGCTGTGCTGATCTCTGAAATCATCATTTAATGTTGCGGTCTTCTAAAGTTATGAACTTTTATTATTGCATAATGTGTGCCCTGATAAGCTGGTTAACATTTTAATATTCTTATCAGAGCACATAGTTGACCATAAAAAAGAAGAACAAATTGTAATAAATTCACCAGTGGAAGCACAAAAAAGAAGAAAAAGGGAAAGGGAAAAAGAGGCTCAGGCAATTTAATAAATTAATACCGTGATGGAGTCCAATTAATGTAGTCATAGATGTATACATGCATCGGTTTCACAAATCCGCGCAAGTCAAGACTACCAGATAGCAGATGGTTATGAAAAAAAGCATAACTAGGGACAGATGTGATGTCCAATGCAGGTCCCTTAATGCCTGCAGATAAGATCGAAGCTCGTGTTAAGCGCCTTCAATAAAGTTCAGTCTCATTCTACCATTAATCTGTTACACTCTTGCTGTTGTTCACTTTCTGACTAATAACTCGAGAAAGATTAAGTATTGAAAATAAGGACACAATTTCAGCAGCTTTTCCTTTACTTCTTTTGGAGACAGAAGCTTATCTTCAGGCTGTTTCACTTTCAAAAGTTTTCATGGAACCCCTTTGTAGATGTCTTGTTTTTCTTCACCTCCTGTGGCTGTGCTTTAGCCTTGAATTTGACATTCACATGAGGTATTGGGCAACAAAAGGAATGGGATCGAAAAACTTAAGCTATTAGATGAGACTTCAATATGGTATCAAAGTTCTGACTTTTGTTGCAGGGACAAGATTAATTATCTTGATGAATCCATGAAAAATATGAATCAAGTGTCTCTTCTTGACATGCCATTGGCTAGCTTCCTGGACGAGAGGTCTCATCTTCATACTGTAATTTGTGATAATTTCAGCAACCATAATATTTATCTTTTCCATCAAAGCCACAGAGATGTCCAATTAAACATTGTTCCTGAAATAGGCCACATTAATTTAAAAGTAGCAGACGCAATTATCCTAAGTCTTAACAAATTCAATGCAAAAATTATTCAAGAATGCAGATGCAAAAGCAATTACATGTGAAGGTTGAAAGCATTATGTAACTATAGTAGCAAAGCGTATTCCCATAACTTACACTGATAAAGTATCATTTTATTTTGTTTCAAGCATTCAAAGAAATGACTATGAACACCCCAGAAACAGAACTACCAGTAACTACATTATAGCTTGGAAACTGGCATCAAGAGCAAAATCTCCAAATGCAAGTAAGTGTAATCCAAATGTCAAACAGGTAAAGGGCACAGTTCAATCAGCTCTATGATTTTTATGCCAAATCCAATCAATTTTCATCTAGATGATCTCAAATCATTTGAATCTTGTTTGCCCAAAATATATTGATAAAAGATATGGGTGATATGACGGTTAATCTGCAATAATTATCTGAGGCATATCTATTTGTCTACCTAACTAAATATATTTAAATACTCCTTTCTCGCAAAATCTATGGGTGTGTTTGGTGTAACGGACAATGTTTTTCGTGAAAAATATTTTCCAAGAAAATGTTTTCTTGGAAAACAAGTAGTAATCTTATTCATTTTCCGGTGTTTGGTACGCAAATTAAGGAAAATGACTTCTCAAAAGTATTCATAAATAATTAGATATAATAAACATGAAGCCATAAACTTTCAAACCAACAATCTTCCGGACCCACAAATTTCATAAACTTTCGATCAGCTAAACTTTCGAAACCGCGGAATTTCGAACCCGTAAACTTTATAATTTCTAAACCCGTAACCTTCCAAACACATAAACCTCCGAACTCATAATTTTGGAACTTGTAAATTTTTGAGCCTTTAAACCGATAAATAATAAAACTAAAACTGAAAAATATATTTTAAAATTTTTTTTTCGGGGAGGGTGGGGTGGAGGGGGAGGGGCTGGGGGCAGGGCTGGGGGGCAGGGGGGTGGGGGGGGGGGGGGGGGCAAGTAAAACAAAAAAAAACAGAATTTAAATTACAAAAAAAAAAGTGCGGAGGGGGGTGGGGGCAGGTGAGGGTGGGTGGTGCAGAAAAATGGAAAATTGAAATTGCAAAAAAAAAAATTTAAGGTAAAAAAAATTATTTTTTTGGGGGGAGGGGAGGAGGGGGGCTGGAGGGGTAGTAGGGTGGTGGTAACGGAAAACTGAAAATTGTAAAAAAAAAAAAAAACATTTTTTGGAGAGGGGGTGGGGTGGGTTGGTGAGGGTGGGGAAGGTTGAGAAGGAGCTGTGGAAAATGTTTTCCCTTCTTTTGATAAGGAAAACATTTTCTTCCAATTGGAGGAAAATAATTTGATAAGGAAAATGTTTTCCAAAACATTTAAGCCAACCAAACATGGGAAAATTGGAAAATATTTTCCGGAAAATATTTTCTTTCGTACCAAACACACCCTATCACACACAACTTGGTCTTTCCTTGTTAGGTTTCACTAATCAAATACCATTTCTTTATTTTGAAAGCAACATCTTGTTCAAATTAAGTTTGAAAGACCCTTGTCTTTCTAACTCTGATAATATTGGTGACTCTGCCCTTTCATTTAAACTTAATTCCATCCTTGCTTTTCTTTTTTCTCCTCTTTATCGTTGTTAAAAAATGGGAAAAAAGAAGAAGATAACTAACCAAATTAGATTGCCACCAGATCCATGGAAATTGCCTCTAGTTGGAAGCCTATATCACCTGGTTGTAGCACTTCCACATCATGCTACCTCTTACAAATTTAGCCCAAAAATATGGACTTTAATGCAATTATAGTATCATCTCCTCACATAGCAAAACAAGTTGCAAAAGTTCGCGACCTTTCCTTGCATCTAGGTTAAAACTTTTGGCATCCGATATAGTCTTTTAATATCAAAACGATATTGCATATGCAAAATATGGGGATTACTGCGTAAAATATGCATCTCAGAGTTCTTCTGTCCAAAGATGGTGAAATCTATCAAAAGTCTAACAGAGCAATAGAAAAATTGAGCTCGAGATGAGCTCCAATGGTGAAACTGGAGATTCGAGGAGAAAGGCTAAAGCTGGGGGCATGTTTGAGAAGGAAAGAAGATAAGTTTTGGAAATGAAATCTCAGTGATATTATCTCAGTTGATCTGTATACATACAATACACGATGAAAGGAGAGAAAGAACTAACGGACTAACTAACTATCGGAAGTGTAACTACCTCAACTAACTAACAACCTAACTGCTTGGTACAACTTTTAATGCTATAAGTACATCTACTCTAAAGATGGAAAAATTATGAAATTATAAATAATACAATAATGCAATACATCTTAGTAATCTAAATGCCCCCCTCAAGTTGGAAGTGAGGGTGTCATGCCAACTTGCTGAGGATGTTGGAATATTTAATCCCTGTTAAGGCTTTAGCGAGAATGTCGGCAAGTTGATGATCAATCCCAATATGATGTAGGGAAATGAGGCCTTCATGCAGTTTGTTTCGAACAAAATGACAATCGACTTCAATATGTTTCGTTCTTTCATGAAAAACTGGTTCCTTGCTATGTGAAGTGCTGATTGACTATCGTAGAATACTACAATAGGACTGGAGAATGGGAATGTGAGTTCTTCAAGTAGCCTTTGTAACCACACCAGCTTAACAACTACTTTTCTGATGGACCTATATTCTGCTTCTGCTGATGACAAAGAGATGGTTTCCTGCTTCTTTGATTTCCAGCTGATAGGACTGTTTTCCAGTAGGACAATGTACCCAGTTACGGATTTCCTGGAGTCTGGGCATGATGCCCAATCAGAATCATAGTATGCTTTCACTGTGTAGTCAGCATCTTTGGAGAAGAAAATCCCTAAGCTGGGATCAGCCTTCAGGTATCTCAATAAGTGAGAAGCTGCCTTTAAGTGTGGTTCCCTTGGATCTTGCATGAACTGGCTTAGATGCTGAACACTAAAGGCTATACCCAGTCTTGTGTTAGTTAGAAAATTCAATTTTCCAACCAACTTTCTATAGCAGCTGGGATCTAGTAGAGGAGCCCCTTCCCTTGCTCTTAATTTCACATTTGGATCAAGGGGTGATAATAAGGGACTACAGTTGAGACAGTTGTACTTTTTCAAAAGATCAATGACAAATTTCCTTTGAGAGATGATGACCCCATCGTCCTTGTAAAGAATTTCAAATCCAAGGAAATACTGTAATCTTCCTAGATTTTTAATTTTGAAGCTATCATGTAAGAATTTCTTCAAAAGTTTTATTTCTTCAAGCTCTGTTCCTGTGAGTATCACTTCATCTACATACACTGCTACATACACCAAGGATGTCCCATTCTTTTTATAGAACAATGAATAATCATGCATGGAATGCTCATAACCTCTAGAGCACAGTGCTTCTGTTAATTTCGCATACCATTGTCTACTAGCTTGTTTCAAGAGACTTGTTTAGTTTACATACCAGCCCTGGTTCAGGTACCATTAGCCCAGGTGGGATTTCCATAAACATTTCTTCATTCAGATCTCCATGAAGAAAGGCATTATTTACATCTAGTTGAAACATGTTCCACCCTCTTTTTACTACTACTGCTATGAGTCCTCTCACAGTGGTCACTTTTACCACTGGTAAAAATATTTCTGTGTAGTCTATTCCTTCTTGTTGTGTGTATCCTTTCACCACTATGAGCCTTAAACCTCTCAATACTTCCATCAGCTTTATGTTTTACCTTATACACCCACCTATAACCTATGGCTTTCTTTCCTGCTGGTAGTAGGACTAAATCTCAGGTGTGATTGGCATGTAATGCCTCAAATTCTTGTGTCATAGCTACCTGCCAAGCAGGATTGATAGCAGTCTCGTGCGAGTAACATAGACTATGTCAAATTCAGTGAGCAAGATTTGCCATTTTGCCAACCTCCCAGTGGGCATCGGTTTCTGGAATATGTATTTCAAAGGATCCAGCCTGGTTATTAGATAGGTGGTATGGGCTTGAAGATAATGTCTCAGCTTTTGGGCAACCCACGTCAGAGCGCAGCATGTTCTTTCCAACAAGGTGTATTTGGCCTCGTAGCCAGTAAACTTCTTGCTCAGATAGTAAATTGCCTGCTCTTTCCTTCCAGTTATGTCATGCTGACCGAGGACACAGCCAAAAGAATTTTCCAGCACTGTCAGATACAAGAAGAGAGGTCGTCCCTGCTCTGGTGGGACCAATACTGGAGGATTTGACAAATATTCCTTGATTTTATCGAAGGCCTCTTGACATTCGGACGTCCACTTGATAGCCGCATCTTTCTTCAATAACTTGAATATGGGCTCACAGGTGGTAGTCAATTGAGCGATGAACCGACTGATATAGTTTAACCTGCCCAATAAACTCATCACCTCCTTCTTAGTTCTTGGAGGAGGTAAATCTCGAATGGCCTTTATCTTTGTTGGATCCAACTCAATACCTCTCCTGCTGACTATGAAACCCAAGAGCTTGCCCGATGGGACTCCGAAAGCACATTTAGCTGGATTCAATTTCAGATCATACTTGCGCAACCGTT